AACCAAAGAACAGACGTTAGGTTCCTGTTCTAAACCATCACCTCCAGCCCTTAAGTAAAAAAAAAAAAAAAAAAAAGGAAAAAGGGAGGGAGCGGGGAGGGTAGAAAAATACTGTGAGAAATGCAACAACGTGTTGATACGTAATGGAGCAGAAAAAGCCACAAGCCACACATTCCCTGCTTCTATCAAATCACCTTTACAAATATTATAATCCCCTTTTTGGAGTCGGCATTAGAAGGAAATGCGTAAGAAATGTTCCTGATATTTTCCTGATTAGGAGAGGAAAGGAAAAAAGCCTCATGTTTAGAGTCGCAGCAGCTTCAGTGTGGAAGGCATGCAAGTTTTGAAAGTCTGTTAGCTCCAAGGAGCTCTGTAACTGAAGTGGAGAATACCTGGAATTCTTCCTGTATTTGTGAAGGTCTAAGACTGCAGTTTGGTAAATAGCAGCTCTTGTCCTGCTGTGTCCAGTTGTGAGTGGCTGGGTCCTGTTTCCCCACCCCCCTCCCTGAAAGCCTGTCTTTTGACCCCTTCTCTTCCTTGCTGGACCTGGCTGAATAGAGGTCTCTGTACTGGGAGAGAGGGTTGCATTTCAGCAAAGGAGCAGAAGTTACACAGTGTTTCCAAAGAGAGGAAAGTAGCAAATCTGGGCTTGCTTTAAAATCATGAAGTTCTGTTGGCTTTTTTTGCGTTCAGTATGAGACCTGAAACGGCAGCTACGGCGAATGGCAGGACGTTTGCAAAATGCAGCTGTTTGTAGCTGGCTTGTCCACAGAGGCTGAAGCTAAAGGTCTCTTTATGTAGGCATGCAACTCTCTTTTCCTGTTCCTTTTTAATTCTGTAATTCTCCCTCCCTCTCAGTTATGAAGGAGCTGGTAGTTTCTGCTGGAGACAGCATCCAAGTGACCCTTCCAAGGAATGAAGTTCAGTTAAATGCATTTGTACTCCCTGAGCCACCAGCAGGTAAGATGAGGTTGGAAACTCCTTCACGGGTGCCAAAGAGGAGTTAATGCCTCGTTAGACAGGCGACTCTTAAGATTTTCCCTATTCAAACATCAGAGTCCTCCTCTGGAGTACCCACGCTAATATGGTCTGCGCCAGGAATGAGCAGTTGCTTGTAGTGAGGGCTTCTGGGACTTGTTTCATACAGCAGAAGGAGGGTATTTTTCTAACTCCCAGGGACACCCATCTGTGGGAGAAGAGCACTGTTTTAAAGAACTGCAGATTGAGTGAGGAAAACTTATTTTCAGTTGCAACCTCTCCCCATTTCAGGGAGCCCATAGTTGTCCACTTTGGGCTGACTGACACACACACACGGTTATCACAGCATTCTCTTTCAGCTGCACAGAACTAGCCGCATGCCCTTGTCTAAAGAGATACAGTAAAGAGTGAGAGACCTGAGCCCTGGGAATAATTGAGCAAAGAAAGAGGCCCAGGGAGGTTGTGATTTAAAAGGAAAAACTGAAGCCTCGTCTCATTTTCAGCCTCACTGATCACAAAATTGTGCTGCAGCTCAGCAGCTCGCCCCATGGGTACTGAGGAAATCTTACTTGTGTGGGCCAAGGTGTTGGTTGTCCTGGGGTGCTAGACTACAGGCCTTTCCCTAGCAGATTTCTAGCATAATCTGTAATATGTCAGTAGGGGTTTTGTCCAGAGAGCAGGCTGTTTCACATAGTCCATCTTTTGTTACACATCCAAAAGTTTGCTTGCATAGGTATACAGTCCTGCTTTCCCAAGGAGTCCGTCTCTGCACTGAGCTGAAGTCTGATCTCTCTGCTAGGTTTTTGTAGAGACCTGCTGTGACAGTGCATCACAGTATTAGCTTGTCATATGGAGGAGGTAAAAATATCAGCCACGTTCAAGCAACAAATACCACATTGGGCAGACCTCCTTTGCCCTGGTAGTTATAAAACTTTGCTCATACATAGCATCTTTCAGCTGAGAGCCTCAGAGCTTTTCCTGAAAGTGGTTAAATATTATGTCCATTTTACAGATAAGTAAGGGAGGTGCAGAAATGAGATTCAACCAAGGTGTCTCAGTTAATCAGTGGTTTCTTTAGTGGTCAGTCAGGAGACCTGATTCCAGTTCCCTCTCCTTATGGTTAAACAGTACTGCCTCCCATAATAAATAGCCTGGGCCAAAAATACAGAAACTGCCAGTGTGCACTCAGACTGAGTATGGCAGCAGCTGTATCCTCTGAGCTTCCTGGGAGAAGCCAGAGAGTGTTCATTGCCTGATGACAAGTTATTGGGGATCATGATTTGATTTGATGGGCAAACCTGTGGCTTAGTCATGGGTTCATTGAGAAATTCAAGAGATGCAGAGAATCAGCTGAACCTTTTCAGAGGTTGCTTTTGCTGTACTCATGGTAGAGGGAGGCAGGAGCGGACCCTGTGACAGTCCTGTGAGAGGCAGTCCGTATTTTTGATACCAGGAGTTGGAGTTTTAGAGACAGGCACCTACACTGAACCCATATGGTTTCAGTCTTTTATGCCCTGAACCCTTGGTTTTAGACCTGTGATCCCTCGTATTCTTTCACCCCTTCAGGAGACTAAAATAGAAGCACCAGCTCCAGATGGAGCGTGGTTTTGGAGCACAGGTTGTCTCTTCTCCCTGGTGTGTTTCCAGCAAGCTAAGGTCCAGGCCCTTAGCTGTTTTGTGCTTCCCTTGAGTATAGCAGAACAGACCAGTATTAATGTGAACACCTGCCCTTGTCTTGCTTTAAAATAGCTCTCATAATTGTTAGCATCTGTCACTCTTTTAGGAACCAGATACTCCTATGAGTGGGAGCTGATCACCCATCCGAAGGACTACAGTGGAGAGATGGAAGGCAAGCACACCCGGACCCTCAAACTCTCTAAGGTGAAGCTCTTAGTATTCAGCTTCCCCTGGCAGGTAATGCCGCCTGTCTTTCCCTTGGCAGGGGTTCTGGCAGTCCCCTGGGATGCCTTGCACAATGGTCCAGAATGAATAGGAGATTGTGTGATGGGAAAGCTGCCAACAGTTGACTGAAAGGCTTTATCTCGGTATTTAGAAAAAGGAGATCAGCGTAACCTGTGGGAAAGCAGGGGGACAGATTGAAGACCCTAAATGCAGTTAGCATTAAAATTTAAGGGAGGGCCCTGGACGCTCCTTCCTGCCTGCAAAACTGATGGGTGGCTAGAGGAAAGTTCCTTTCTCGCCCATGGAGCCAGGTGCTTGGGGTGCTGCACAGTTATCATGACTGAAGCCAGGTGAGCACCTCCCTTGTCACTGCTCTCAGCTGGATTTTGTGGCGAATTGAAGGGACTGTTTCTTTCTGTGTTTGGAGGGATTTTGAGTAATCATGAAAATGTAACACCTTTTCTGAAGAGGCTCCTTGCACATCCAGCAGCTCTGCTCCAGAGCTGTGTTGGGGAAAGAAGAGTCATTGCCAGGGTACTGGCAAGGAAGAGCCCCTCCACAGGGCGTTCTACCACCTCTTAAACCTTACGACTACTGTCTAGCACGCACCCTCAAGATAAACCCTCTCGTCTCTAATTGCATGTGTGCGAGGGAGGGCTATGCTTGCTTTTCACAGATTCAGAAGGGAGAGGAAACCCTTTTCCAACCTGGATCATGTCTCTGGCAGTGGGAAATATCCACCTTTTAACTGCATTATGAAAATGATAATACAAAAGGATACACAGGACTGTAGCTCCGGTTGCCTCTACCTTGCACATGTTGCCAAATGCATAGGCATCCCTGCTTTATGCTGTTGTCTTCTGTCCCAATACATTATGGGCAGTCTGACCTAGCTTCTGACCAAGTGGAACCTCTTCTTCCTTTCCAGCTTACCTTTGGCCTGTATGAATTCAAAGTGATTGTTGATGGAGATAATGCATATGGGGAAGGTTATGTGAATGTGACGGTGAACCCAAGTAAGTTCCAATACGGATTGTGGTTTTTGAACTTTGGACTTCACCCTTCATGAAATCAGCAGCTGCATCATGGTATTTTGTTTGCTGGGCCGGGCAGTAGCTTGAAGTAATGGGAATTCATTGCAATGTGTGCATATGTGTATATATGAGAGAGAGAGAGAGAGAGAGAGAGAGAGAGAGAGTGTTTGTGTGATGTGAAATGCTACCTCCATTACACATAGCTCTGCTATGCTGAGGGCAAGTCTATTAAAAACAAATGCGATAAAGGAACTGCAGCTCTGCTGCAGAAGTGTTTAGCAAATGCATGACCCTGGGAAAAGCATCGCTTAGCTAGAGAGTTGCTGCAACAGGGTGAAGAGCTTGTGGCAACAGGAACAGGATATGGGAGGAAAGCCAGGACTTGGAGCTTCTCTGCCTCCTACAGTACCATCCCTGTCTGCAGCCCTGTTAAGTCGGATCTCAGTTCTCACTGCAAGGTGCTTTCAAAGGTCTTGTTTGTACAGTGGGCGTTTGTTCCCTGTAGAGTAAACTTTCAATTGGAAATGGCCCAGTCTTTATTTACAAATAAGGACTGCTTGAGAGGGGGTGGAAGGATGGAAGGTAGTCTGGCTGAAACTTCATGCCTTGTCTGAAATGGCTTGAATGTCCCCCGTTTATATGAAAGAACATAGTCTTGAGTATTTACCTTGGAGACCTTTTACTGAGTTTTGTGAGCACAGTAACGTAGGCCTACTCAGGAATCATCTACCAGGGAATTTTAGGCTTGGGAATATTGTTGGATTTGAACAAATAGTGAGCTCATTTAAATGTAACTGGGGAAGCAGAGCCTTGGGTAGCAGTGTGTGCTCACCTGTTCACTTTTCAGAGCTGTGGCCAAACTCATGCCAAGTGAGTGCGCAGGTATCAGTCTCTTGGAGAACCAGTTGTTCTGAGCGTTGACTCTGTAAAGGAGATGATAACTACACATGGGGCCCTGGGACCTTAGGCTTTGTGTGAGCCCTGGCCCCCATCACAGCCTGCTTTTTTGGAACTCCCACCCGTAGCACAGCAGGCCTGGGGAGGAGGTGTGACCTGCTGGCTGGATCAGAGTGCAGTCCCATGGTTAGCACAGGGCCTTCCACAGTAACCACTCTTATCAGCGAAGATGGAGGGTTGCCAGGTATCACAAGT